CATCAAATATGAATATAAACAGATCAATTTGAGGACAGACGGGGTTATTTGTCAAAGGATGTGAAATACGCTCAGGTTGCTGTTTCCATTTCATCAAGATAACAAGTTTCACCTTTACAAGCTCAATGTGTGTATATTCAAAACACAGGAAACAAATATACAACACAAATTCAACATAAAATAATTTTCCATAAGTCATAATGGAAAATATCAAAATACTGTTTAGGGGCTTGAAATACTGGGGGTTGAAATAGTTAATTTTCATACAGTGGATAAGAAAAGAAAGGAGGGAAGAGAAGTAAAATGCAGTAAATAGGGAAGTGTATACTAGTAAGGCTGACGATGCAATGAACTGTCAAGTAGTAAAACCAGTCTGAGCTGGTTTAGCTTTTAAGTCAAGATTGCAAACTTAAATTCTCAAGGCTTGTACGAGCAAAAATAGAAAAGCATCGTAACTGTTGCCATTACATAATGATGCCTGGCTCATATAACAGAAAGCACGAGATAAGCGGACTTTCCGTGCAAACGCAAAATCCCAGACAGGTCAGTTTTGTGAACATGTAACGACAGGAGCAGGGATTTTTCGGATAATATGTTACATCAATGGTAAGTAAATTCATTATTTACAAAATCATTTTATAACAGGATATGCTGGTAGTTGCCTTACTATTTTTATATGTGTCTATCAGTGAAACATTGACTGTAAACACAGCTGCTCCATGAAACAATACTGGTCAGTCCAATAAAGAGTTGGGCCTACGTTGGCCAATGTTGGCGTAACGAACATTGCTATCAGGGATATATTGTCAGTCCGGCGCTACGTTACATGTTTTAAAGCATTACTACGTTGGTAATGCATGATGATATCTTGCTCAATTTACATGAAGCATGTGATGCCCGAACGAAAAGATACCTTGACGGATCATAGTTTTATACACATGTGTCGGCAAGAGTCGTCAGAATTCCCACTGGATGTGTCTTGAGCAGGGATTATATGTTGCATCAAAGATAAGTAATTTCAATTATTTGCAAAGTCATTTTCCTTTGTAACAGTTATAACACGTATGCTGATGGTTGACTTACCATGTTTATGTGTCCATCAATGAAAACATGAACGTAAAACACAGCTGCTCCATGAAACAATATTGATCTGTCCAATCAAGAATACAGATGTACAAATATCACAAACGGAGTCCGAAGGTTCGATTACAGGATGGAATGTCTTTCCAATGCTCATAATGTTTGTGTGAATTCTCTGATGGAGCTCTTGTCATTTATTAGTGATATATTAGCAGTCCGGCTCAACATTGCATGTTTCAGTTTAAAGTAAACAAAATAAAAATAATACAACACTCAAGAATTTATCTCTCAGTGTGTTTACGAGAAAAGCGATTGTTGAAAGTTTAGATAGATATCTAGTCACTATCACTGTCATCTGCGTCAGTATACTCCAAAGTATCCCTTGGACCCTGGGTGAGTTTGATACGAATCTTAAGCCTCAATGACTCGGTGAGCCTAGTGAATTGGGATCTCTTGGTGATCAGGGCCACAGAACCATCTAGTTTCTTAACGTAGATCACTCCGTCTCGAGCCCAAGTTCCTGCTAGTCTCTTGTGGGCGACTAGTTGGCGCGCTTCAGTGGCAAGACGGGCCCTCTCCTTTGTCAGATCGTCATTCACGAACACCTTCAGGGTTCGATTCTTCAGCTTGGCTAGGTTGCTCATCACCTGGCGTTTGACTCTATAGGACATGAATTTGACAAGAATTGGTCTGTTCTGTGAGATCTGTCGATGTCCTCCACTTTGAGCTTGAGACCCAACTCCGTCGCCAGCTCTAAGATTAGTTTGTCAGTATTTTCGTTTTTACTCTCAGATAGACCGTATACCCTGATGTTGTTCCTTCGACCATACTGGTAAAGCTCATCAATTTGAGAATCCTTAGATGCAAGCCTCTCGTTCATGCCCTCAATCTTTTCTTCTAACACTTTGATTTTAGTAGAGTTTTGTTGAAGAGTTTCCACTAGAGGGACTAATTTCAGATCCAGAGTGGCACTAATTTGAGGCATAAGAGCTGTGGCAAGAGTTTTACTCAGTGATTCCAATACAGATGGTGAGTTTATAGAGTCTCTATAAGCTGTTGAGTAAGTACGGTTGCCATGTTTGTGTCTTCGGTTTCACTGTCACAATGTAAGAACACCAAGCTATCAGAAAACGATCTAGTTCTTTTACTTAGTGTGTCTGTAACGCCCAGTATTGGTGAGTCCGGTGAGCTGCGATGTCGTTTTGAGGTTAAAGGGGAGAATGACATGAAACTTTGGTGCGGTTTGTCCAACTTTGTAATGTGGAGCCTAAACTGATTTATTGTCAAAACGTCAACATTAATGTTTATCAGAGTCTGTCATTGGACCGTTTGGTTGCTTATAGGAGTTGAAAATCACTTGGAAATGATGTTTACTCACTCAATAGCATGTCATCCAATATGTCTCCGATATGAAAAACCATGGTGTCCACACAATCCATTTCAATTAGCACAATATTTTTGTCATCCGTTGGTAGATTACACATACAAGGGTAGTTTTAATGTTTCTATAACAAATCCCCCATGTATTTCAATAATCCTCACAGTATTTTCATTGATTTAGGACATCAATGTGGGAGCTCAGTGAAACCATGTCTTGTCTCATCTCCCATCATGCAACTCAGTCTTGTGACACACATGTACACAGCACAAAGGACAGTTTTGTGACACACATGTACACAGCATGTAAGGACAGTTTTGTGACACACATGTACACTGTACATAGGACAGTCTTGTGACACACATGTACACAACACAAAGGACAGTCGTTTGACACACATGTACACTGTACATAGGACAGTCTTGTGACACACATGTACACAGCACAGGAGTTGCTGAAATGCTGGCTATGGAAATGAAGGCATCGGGGATGTATGTGTCACGCGGCCTGAGCTTCAAACAGGCAGAGGTGAGAGACCCATATATGGCTACACATAAGGATGCACTTCAACCTGTGACACATGTAGGCTGCATACGGAACAGTCTTGGGAAGCAGGTTTATCATATATTTTATTACACAAATATAAGTTACACATGGGACATCGGACAGCCGTGTGACACACATGTACACAGCACATAGGACAGTCGTGTGACACACATGTACACAGCACATTGGACAGTCGTGTGACACACATGTACACAGTACATAGGACAGTCTTGTGACACACATGTACACAGCACATAGGACAGTAGTTTGACACACATGTACACAGCACATAGGACAGTCGTGTGACACACATGTACACAGTACATAGGACAGTCTTGTGACACACATGTACACTGTACATAGGACAGTCTTGTGACACACATGTACACAGTACATAGGACAGTCTTGTGACACACATGTACACTGTATGTAGGACTGTCTTGTGACACATGTACACAACACAAAGGACAGTAGTTTGACACACATGTACACTGTAAATAGGACAGTCGTGTGACACACATGTACACAGTACATAGGACAGTCTTGTGACACACATGTACACTGTACGTAGGACAGTCTGGTGACACACGTACACTGTATGTAGGACAGTCTTGTGACACACATGTACACAGCACAAAGGACAGTCTTGTGACACACATGTACACTGTATGTAGGACAGTCTTGTGACACATGTACACAACACAAAGGACAGTAGTTTGACACACATGTACACTGTACATAGGACAGTCTTGTGACACACATGTACACTGTACATAGGACAGTCTTGTGACACACATGTACACTGTATGTAGGACTGTCTTGTGACACATGTACACAGCACATAGGACAGTAGTTTGACACACATGTACACTGTACATAGGACAGTCTTGTGACACACATGTACACTGTACGTAGGACAGTCTTGTGACACACATGTACACTGTACGTAGGACAGTCTGGTGACACGTACACTGTACGTAGGACAGTCTTGTGACACACATGTACACAGCACAAAGGACAGTCTTGTGACACACATGTACACAGCATGTAAGGACAGTTTTGTGACACACATGTACACTGTACATAGGACAGTCTTGTGACACACATGTACACAACACAAAGGACAGTAGTTTGACACACATGTACATAGGACAGTCTTGTGACACACATGTACACTGTACGTAGGACAGTCTTGTGACACACATACACTGTACGAAGGACAGTCTTGTGACACACATGTACACTGTACATAGGACAGTCTTGTGATACATGTACACTGTACGTAGGACAGTCTTGTGACACATGTACACTGTACATAGGACAGTCTTGTGACACACATGTACACAACACAAAGGACAGTAGTTTGACACACATGTACATAGGACAGTCTTGTGACACACATGTACACTGTCTTGTGACACACATGTACGTAGGACAGTCTTGTGACACACATACACTGTACATAGGACAGTCTTGTGACACACATGTACACTGTATGTAGGACTGTCTTGTGACACACATGTACACTGTACGTAGGACAGTCTTGTGACACACATGTACACTGTACGTAGGACAGTCTTGTGACACATGTACACAACACAAAGGACAGTAGTTTGACACACATGTACACTGTATGTAGGACAGTCTTGTGACACACATATACACTGTACGTAGGACAGTCTTGTGACACACATGTACACTGTACGTAGGACAGTCTTGTGACACATGTACACTGTACATAGGACAGTCTTGTGACACACATGTATGCAGTCTTTATTCACCATGTAATATACACACCAGACATTTTTAAGACACCATGCTAGCATTAAAGCAAACATATGATACATGTAGGCTACCAATCTGTTTAGATACACCATTTGGGCTTCACATCAGACAGTATAAGACACTTCATGTAGGCTGCACATCTCATAGTTTTATGACAACATATAGGCTGCACATCTCAGAGTTTTGTGACGCACATTTTCTTATGTTTCAGTTTGTGTCAGTCCAGTCAGATTTAAGCCAGGAGCAGAAGAAGATGTATGACACAGCCGCACATGTATGGTGGGAACATGTTTTTTGAAGTGGACATTTACAATATTGAGCACAGATAATTGACCCTTACACATGCAAACAGTATGCTCCTTACAGAGTCAACTATGCATAAAGACAAAATAACTCATGTTTGGATGCAAACATCTCTTTGTGATCGTATAAGAGTTCAAATAATAAAACTCCACTAAACTTGGGGCAATACAGATCATCATAGAATCATCACAAGATGACATGGTCAGTGACAACTTGCCCAAAGGTGACTTAAATATCACCTCTGAAGGAAGTAACATGAGAGATTTTCTTCAAGACACTACTACAGAGTCGTGCAAAAAGTATTCAGACACTTGACATAATTTCCATCGACTTACATGTTAATTTAGTGAAGCATAAATAATTTTCATGAATTTAATTTTTGTAGGATCCAAGTCAAATTTTGCACATTTGTGAGGAATCATTTTACCTATAATCACATAATATCTGTTTAATTTTCCGTTGCTTTTTTATCGAATGGCAACAATTTAATCAACATGTGTACAGTGCCGTGAACTCCTCTAACATGGCGGCCTATGGGATTGTGCATTGTTGGAACCATACAAAAGTTGATAAATGTGATGTCAATAGTTAAATAGTGGTCGGAAAATTGAACTGAATTTGTGTGCCCAGAGCAGAGATGATATCAAATTTGCCTGTCAAATTTTTACAAAGATCCATCCTGAACTCACTTAATGAAAATTATTTATGCTACACTGAAATAACATGTAAGTCTATGGAAATCATGTCAAGTGTCCGAATACTTTTTGCACTGGTCTGTACTGTATGTTGCATTGGCCTGACTGGATTGTTGTGGAATTAAATTTCTTTACTACAGCCAATAAGGATTACAGCTTAACTTACCTTCATGTAAAATATGGGGCGGTGGGGTAGCGTAGTGGTTAAAGCGTTCGTTCGTCACACCAAGGACCCGGGTTCGATTCCCCAGATGGGTACAATATGTGAAGCCCGTTTCTGGTGTTCCTGCCGTGATATACCGGTAGGTGGAATATTGCTAAAAGCGGCGTAAAACTAAACTCACTCACTCATGTAAAATACTTTAATTTCATTGATCAATGACAGTTTAACAAGTTTCCGTGTCACCCCTCCCAGGAGGGTGACAACTGGAAAAAATAGTACCCGTTGTCACGGTAACCGCCAAGTTCTCTACTGAGAAACTGAAGCGCTAACAATCGTTTGACGTCATAATATGACGCATGCCATGCCCGGGGTTCGAAAACCATTCGATCAGCAGTTTTTGTGTTCACTTCGTACAGATTTAGTTTACCGACTTTCACTGCTATATTTAAGCTATTTTATACATTGAGTGATTTGCACACTCAGTTTAACGTAGTTAAAAAAATTTGTAGCAGTTTTATTCTTGTCAGAATATGATTCACTGATGTTCAAAATCCAGTCGAGAGGCAGACGTCATTTGTTTGCATGTCATATAGTCGGTAGCGATCTTTAACATAAAATAACATGATATTTTGTACATTTAACATGGCAGTAAGATAAATACGTTGTATGCTTCTCCCTCGGGTAATATGGTCTGATGTACGCCTCTTTGTTACCCTACATTGTAAATCATTAAACTCTTATTGACCTAAATAACTGCAACAGCACAAAACTGTATTTATCTACATAGCATACAGACACAAAGCATTATTATTTATTATATTCAAACATTGTACACTTGGTCCTCTATAAAATGGTACCAATACAAACAAGTATTTCCCTGCATCACAAGCATGTTAAATGGGTAGTACTGGTATGTAAAGCAGGGTTTGTCTTGCGCTATACTAAATCAAAGGATCACTTTGTAATCCTTGTGATTCATGTCCTTTGACCTCAGACAACACAGTACATGTTCATTTAGGTGTATAATCCTGATGAAGTACGGTGTGGTCTGGTCAGAACTAGTGTCTGACTGATGTGTGCATGCGAACTGGTAATCCCTGTGAAGTACAGTGTGGCCTAGTCAGAACTAGTGTCTGACTGATGTGTGCATGCGAACTGGTAATCCCTGTGAAGTACAGTGTGGCCTAGTCAGAACTGATGTGTGCATGCGAACTGGTAATCCCCATGAAGTACATTGTGGCCTAGTCAGAACTAGTGTCTGACTGATGTGTGCATGCGAACTGGTAATCCCTGTGAAGTACAGTGTGGCCTAGTCAGAACTAGTGTCTGACTGATGTGTGCATGCGAACTGGTAATCCCCGTGAAGTACAGTGTGGCCTAGTCAGAACTAGTGTCTGACTGATGTGTGCATGCGGAACAGGTAATCCCCGTGAAGTACAGTGTGGCCTAGTCAGAACAGTGTCTGACTGATGTGTGCATGCGAACTGGTAATCCCCGTGAAGTACAGTGTGGCCTAGTCAGAACTAGTGTCTGACTAATGTGTGCATGGGAACAGGTAATCCCCATGAAGTACAGTGTGGCCTGGTCAGTACTGGGGACTGACTGATGTGTGCATGCTAACAGGTACACACCGTGAAGTACAGTGTGGCCTGGTCAGTACTGGGGACTGACTGATGTGTGCATGCTAACAGGTAATCCCCATGAAGTACAGTGTGGCCTGGTCAGTACTGTGGACGGACTGAGGTGTGCATGCTAACAGGTACTCCCCATGAAGTACAGTGTGGCCTGGTCAGTACTGGGGACTGACTGATGTGTGCATGCTAACAGGTTATCCCCATGAAGTACAGTGTGGCCTGGTCAGTACTGGGGACTGACTGATGTGTGCATGCTAACAGGTACACACCGTGAAGTACAGTGAGGCCTGGTCAGTACTGGGGACTGACTGATGTGTGCATGCTAACAGGTACACACCGTGAAGTACAGTGAGGCCTGGTCAGTACTGGGGACTGACTGATGTGTGCATGCTAACAGGTTATCCCCATGAAGTACAGTGTGGCCTGGTCAGTACTGGGGACTGACTGATGTGTGCATGCTAACAGGTACACACCGTGAAGTACAGTGAGGCCTGGTCAGTACTGGGGACTGACTAATGTGTGCATGCTAACAGGTAATACCCATGAAGTACAGTGAGGCCTGGTCAGAACTAGTGTCTGACTAATGTGTGCATGCTAACAGGTAATCCCCATGAAGTACAGTGTGGCCTGGTCAGAACTGGGGACTGACTAATGTGTGCATGCTAACAGGTAATACCCATGAAGTACAGTGAGGCCTGGTCAGTACTGGGGACTGACTGATGTGTGCATGCTAACAGGTACACACCGTGAAGTACAGTGAGGCCTGGTCAGTACTGGGGACTGACTGATGTGTGCATGCTAACAGGTACACACCGTGAAGTACATTGAGGCCTGGTCAGTACTTGGGACTGACTGATGTGTGCATACTAACAGGTACACACCGTGAAGTACAGTGAGGCCTGGTCAGTACTGGGGACTGACTAATGTGTGCATGCTAACAGGTACACACCGTGAAGTACAGTGAGGCCTGGTCAGAACTGGGGACTGACTGATGTGTGCATGCTAACAGGTACACATCGTGAAGTACAGTGAGGCCTGGTCAGTACTGGGGACTGACTGATGTGTGCATGCTAACAGGTACACACCGTGAAGTACAGTGAGGCCTAGTCAGTACTGGGGACTGACTAATGTGTGCATGCTAACAGGTAATCCCCATGAAGTACAGTGTGGCCTGGTCAGAACTAGTGTCTGACTAATGTGTGCATGCTAACAGGTTATCCCCATGAAGTACAGTGTGGCCTGGTCAGTACTGGGGACTGACTGATGTGTGCATGCTAACAGGTAATCCCCATGAAGTACAGTGTGGCCTGGTCAGAACTAGTGTCTGACTAATGTGTGCATGCTAACAGGTTATCCCCATGAAGTACAGTGTGGCCTGGTCAGTACTGGGGACTGACTGATGTGTGCATGCTAACAGGTACACACCGTGAAGTACAGTGTGGCCTGGTCAGTACTGGGGACTGACTAATGTGTGCATGCTAACAGGTACACACCGTGAAGTACAGTGTGGCCTGGTCAGAACTGGGGACTGACTAATGTGTGCATGCTAACAGGTACACACCGTGAAGTACAGTGTGGCCTGGTCAGTACTGGGGACTGACTGATGTGTGCATGCTAACAGGTACACACCGTGAAGTACAGTGAGGCCTGGTCAGTACTGGGGACTGACTGATGTGTGCATGCTAACAGGTACACACCGCTGAAGTACAGTGAGGCCTAGTCAGTACTGGGGACTGACTGATGTGTGCATGCTAACAGGTACACACCGTGAAGTACAGTGAGTCCTGGTCAGAACTGGGGACTGACTAATGTGTGCATGTTAACAGGTACACACCGTGAAGTACAGTGAGGCCTGGTCAGTACTGGGGACTGACTGATGTGTGCATGCTAACAGGTAATCCCCGTGAAGTACAGTGTGGCCTGGTCAGAACTAGTGTCTGACTAATGTGTGCATGCTAACAGGTACACACCGTGAAGTACAGTGTGGCCTGGTCAGTACTGGGGACTGACTGATGTGTGCATGCTAACAGGTACTCCCCGTGAAGTACAGTGAGGCCTGGTCAGAACTGTGGACGGACTGATGTGTGCATGCTAACAGGTAATCCCAGTGAAGTACAGTGTGGCCTGGTCAGAACTAGTGTCTGACTAATGTGTGCATGCTAACAGGTAATCCCCGTGAAGTACAGTGTGGCCTGGTCAGAACTAGTGACTGACTAATGTGTGCATGCTAACAGGTAATCCCTGTGAAGTACAGTGTGGCCTGGTCAGAACTAGTGTCTGACTAATGTGTGCATGCTAACAGGTAATCCCCGTGAAGTACAGTGTGGCCTGGTCAGAACTGGGGACTGACTGATGTGTGCATGCTAACAGGTACTCCCCATGAAGTACGGAAAGGTCTGGTCAGAACTTGTGAATGATGTGTGCATGCTAACAGGTACACACCGTGAAGTACAGTGTGGCCTGGTCAGAACTAGTGTCTGACTAATGTGTGCATGCTAACAGGTAATCCCCGGCCCCGTGAAGTACAGTGTGGCCTGATCAGAACTGGGGACTGACTAATGTGTGCATGCTAACAGGTACTCCCCATGAAGTACGGAAAGGTCTGGTCAGAACTTGTGAATGATGTGTGCATGCTAACAGGTACTCCCCGTGAACTACAGTGTTTCCTGGTCAGAACTGTGGACTGACTGACTGATATGACCTCTGCTAACATGTTCAAACATCTGAGTTGCAATCTGTTCTTCTCCATTAGATTCAGCTTGAGATGGTATATATCTCCCTTAGTAGTTTCTCAGACATGTCATGGGGTTCACAATTGATTGCCTGTGACGTCCCGGGAGTTCATATGGCCGTGCACTTTGATCCAAGTGACATATCTTTCCTGCATTTATGCATTTATGTCAGCATTCAGACAGGTTGTGAGAGTAGTAATCCAGTTGGTCCCCTGTGTGGTTCAAGGTCAAGTCCAGTCGTTCATGATGCCTACCACCAAAGGCAGACCAACCATATGGCCACATGGACACACTCAATCTGTGTGGTTAGCATGCAGGGAACCATTGGGTGAGCAGGTGGCAAAGTAGCATCTAGCTGCATTTTTGGTCCTGATAAGCTTTGATTGGCAAGGTTCTGGAATCCTGATTCTCCTGCTATGTGGAGGCAGGTGACATCCCCGATTCCGTGACTTCAACGATATCTTCTCAGAGACTCACAGCCAGTGTTCGGTCACAACCACCATGTTGTGCAAAGCCATAGCCAATGGTCAGTCTGGACCATTGAGCCCACTGTGTGCTGCCTGTCAGGTGTCCTTTTCAATATCACTGTAGAAAAAGACACCTGACATCAAATCCAACTGTCCCCATCATTGTTTGGGTGATGCTTCTTGCTCACTTTTAACTCTAATGACCATAGCTTCTGGACAAACATGGCCTGAGTCTCCTTGTCAATGTACATGGTCAGTGTCAATGGAGATGTTTCTGTACCCATTTTTAGCCATGGAACAACACAGCGAAGATCTCCACCAAACTGCAGACATGCATGTGGATAAGGGAGGCAGTGCCATGATGATCCAAAACACACTTGCATAAATATTTTTATCTCTCCGCCTTGTGTTTAGTATTAGGCTCCCTCTGTCCATCCGTATGTACATACAAATTGGAATATCTTAAGAACCGTTGACTAGATTCTTTTCATATTTGGTACCTAGGTTTATCACAGTATGCGAAAGGTCCCAGTCAGGTTTGGTGACCTTGACCTTAATTTCAAGGTCACAGCGGGACTTTTACGTTTTACACTTGTCAGCAAGATATCTCAAGAACTGTTCACTGGATTTTTTCATATTCAACACCAAGTTTCATCTAGGGGAGGCGCAGAGCCCAGTCGATTTTGGTGACCATCATGTAATTTTCAAGGTCACAGCGACACTTTCAAGATTTCAGCATGTTAACCTGCATGTTAAGCTTGTCAGCAAAATACCTCCAGAACCATTAACTGGATTTTCTTCATATTTAACACCAAGCTTCATCTAGGGGAGGTGCAGGGACCAGTGCAGTTTGGTGGCCTTCACATAATTATCAAGGTCATGGCGACACTTTGAATATTTCAGCATGTTAACCTGCCTGTTAAGATTGTCAGCAAGATATCTCAAGAATGGTTCACTGAATTTTCTTCATTGACTTTCAAGACTTCTCTTGAATGTTTTTTTTTATAAGCAATTTCTTTATAACTATTTTTGCATATTTCATACACCATGACATTCATGACAAGGTCAAAGTGAGTCTTAAAAATTTATGTGTGTTTGAACAACAACAGAGCAACATATCAAGAGAGGTCAACTGGTCATGTTTTTGTTGACATCTAACTTAATCTTAAACTACGATCTTCACTTTCATTACTTTTTAATTTTGATTAGATAATTTGCGGCGGGGGATTGTGTTACCTTAGTGCCAATGCTTGTATTCTTTAAATCCATTTTAATGCAGTTACATCAAAGTCATGCATTCACTGAGCAATAAAACACAGAACATAATGATATAAATGTTAAGACTCACATTGAATTTACTTTGAGAATAAAGTCTACATGGCAAAATGAAGTAAATGGTGAAATCTAACAACAAATGTTTTTGAAATTGACTGTAATGGGACATGAAATTAAATATGCAATCTGAAAATGACTCCCCAAAATTTTTTGACATTTGTCATTGTAGTGTAGACTCCTTTCTTGTTGGTGTGAGTGTTAAACTTTAGTACACAAACACCTATAGTGGCTGCTTGGATTGACATCTTAAGGCTTCATTGAGTAAGATTCATAAAATGTTTCAGGAACGAACTACGCAAGGCTCTTGAAAGTGCATTACTCCGCACAAGCACTGTCAACAAGAGACTCTGGTCACAGTTCTGGTCGGCACATCAGCGCTTTTTCAAACAGCTTTGGTGAGTTGTCATTGAGAGCAAGTCATTGGTACTTTAGGTGATTACTTAAGAAATTTCATGCTGATTTTAATTTAACCCATTCCACACAGCAGGCCAAATAATCGGCCAGGACATCATGAATCCACAGATTCTGGAGGTGGTTGACCAGCAAGACAGCAGTCACATCAAAATTTTAATATATTATATAATTACTTTAGAGACCAACCTGATATATGATTCATTTATTAAATCAATCACTTTTCACAATGTCTGAAAAACACATATTACATTTCAGTTGACCTAATATTATTGACATATTTAAAATTAGAATATATTTTTTTATCAGTGTTATTGGAAAAAAATAATTCTTGGACACATGCTTCAGCCACATGCTTCTAAACTCGCAAAGTAACGTTGTTTGAGGAAACTTATGGAGAATAGTAAATGTTTGCAGAACTCATCCCTGTTATTGGGAGGTGATTGCCAAAATGGTTGAAGACTAGGTAGAATGGAAATAAAAAGAAGGGAATGGGATAGGTCCAAAGATGCCAACCTCTACGCCTCTATGATTTTATCGTAGTCGCTACGAATTTTAGCCTCAAACTATGCCAATACGATTGCCCTAGAAATTTCTATGAAATTTGAAGAACATTCAATAATAAAATTCGGAAATATAGACAACATATATTTTCGTCGATTAAATACATTTTCGCCAGAAAGAGACGACAGGAAGAAATGTAATGCTGATAAGTTGGAAATCTGCTTTTGGAGGTATGTGAAATTAAAGCTTCACTCTTGATTAGTGTCTTCTAATTTTATGGTCAAACTACTAATTTTGATCCTTGAAACTACTATTTGCAACACTTTGGGGTTGGCATCTCTGTAGGTCTGTGTTAGGCAAGCAGTCAGTGAAAAAAGCTTTCAAGTCAGCTGTCCTCCAACTCCACAACTGTCACCAACAGTATGATTCGGGGATAACTGGGACTCAGACAAAGTGCTGGTGGTGACACAGTCCCTTATCTCAGACAGGCCCACTCCTTGGGCAAAAGAGAGGGAGGAGTATTGTGTTTGGATTGGTTTTACTTTGGACAAAATGCTCTTCCTGGATTGGACATCTGCCTGAACTGACACACCTTAGGGTGAGTTATCTTATGACCCCAAGGTTGATTGTCATGAACACACTGATGTGTTCTTGCTGAATACCTGAAGTATAACACCTCAAACAGTATACTTACATTATTACTGAGATCAGATCTAATCCATTCAACATTATAATTTCATTATTCTCATCCTACAGACTATAGTAAACCAGAAGTGACATCATTATGATGTCATCGTGACATCATTAATGTTACCGTTGAACGGAAGTCCACTAATTTCATAATATTCAGCAGCAAGAAGAAGTATCAAATGTCAGAACAACCAAATGCAGGTTTATTCTCATCTGTTTACCCTTGGTCACTGTTGTTTGTAGCTTCTTCCTTACTTGTGTTAAGGGTACTCTTAGTCAACCAAGCCTTATCTGAATTCAACAATCAAGTGTTAGAGGCATGTATTATAAAAAAAAACATTTGAATATTATCGAGAATTAACACAATTCTCTGAAAAGTACTTCGAACATTTGTACACATAAGATACCCTTGGAATAATTATGAGCTTTACCCAGGCTAGGTGAGATAACACCAGCGGATAGCATTTGGTTGACCACAAGGAAGAAAGCCAAAACAAAACAAAATACTTTTTATTCAAGTCAACTTTTGGATGAATGATTCCAGCTATGGTTTCTCTATAATTTGAAAATTTGATTTTCACCAAATGCTCATCCATTTCTGGATGTATAAACATGAAATTAAGATATTGAAAACCACATTATTTCGTCAAGCGTAGTAACTCAGTGTTTATATCTCAGTTGTAAAATGGACCATGGTTGTTTGGTACAGTTCATGTGTACTAGCAACAAAGACCAAGGATGAAATGATAATGATGCAGGGATTCTATGGGCACACTGTATAGGATTGAAACGTGACAATCAACGACCACGAACCCTCATTGTCAAATTTGCTGTGTCTGAGGATAAAATTAGCACATTAAAACTCCGTCCAGAACTTCAGAAGTCTGCAATTGGAGTATCAAATGATCTGACGAGACGGAACGTCAACGCGACACAATCAGTGAACATAGAGATAAAAGTCTCATTGCCTACTACAAGAACGGACGTTTGATTACCTGACCGAAAGATCACTCCTCTACGGAACCGAAAACTGGACTACCCAGTCAAGAAACCGTCAGTTTGGACAGAACTTTCACCAAGGCAATGAGACGCCTGAACAACGTCAGCTTTGTTGTTGACAATCGGATGACGTCGACACCCGCACCCACACCTACACCTACACCCACAACAAGAAGCGCTCCTACAATGTCATCACAATAGGAAATCGGCCGGGCCTGTAGCCAGTTACACACACCTGTTGATGACACGGATGACCAACACTCGCCTCGTGATGACACAAATCGTAGTGACTTCTACGATAACATCTCTTTTGTTCTCTTTTCATTCCTTTCATGGAATATCAATGGCCTAAAGGCCAAGTTACAAGACTCAGATTTCTTAGCCTTCCTAGGTCAGTTTGACCTAATATGCCTATACGAGACTTTGTTGATAATCTGATCACTATACCAGAGTTATCTGAATTTCACTTGTATTTTTGTAAAGCTCATAAATTGTCTAATTTTGGAAGGCTTTCAGGGGCTATCTACATGTTTATACGGAACTCATTGTCACAATACTGTTCAGAGATACCTATTACAATATCAAATGTTATCTGTTTACGCTTAAACAAACATATGTTGAATACCGAACGAAATATTTTACTCTTTGCTGTACATGTTCCACCAGAAGGTTCAACATTCTATAAGAAAGTACAAACATGTACCCTGTTTGATCAATTAGAAGAGTGGTTGTTAGACAACCCCCATTATATGACTGATTGTGATATTCATATTATGGGTGACTTTAACGCTCGTGTTGGAGATGGTAATCAACCACCTGACGCTCCAGATGATAGAATTGATCACTATTTTCCTGAAGATGAACCAGTACCTATAGACACCAGGTCAACTCAGGATGATATTGTAAATAGATTTGGGAATCTACTTTTGAACTTTTGCTATGTTTTTAACGAGGTCAGTTCACGTACATTTCTGACCAGGGCTGTAGTGTTATTGATTATATTTCTTCGTCCCCTAATTTATTCAAGTACTTTTTTAGTTTCAAAATATGTGATAGAATTGAAAGCAAACACATGCCACTGGTACTCAGTTTCAAAAGTGTAAAAAGCAATTATAATCAACAACTGGAAAATGATTGCATCCCAAAGTATAAATGGAAATCATGTGATGAACAAATATTCGTATGTAATATATATGATAGAAAGAATGTTCTAGACTCACTCATAGATGAAATTTCAATTGACATTAATAATGCTGTTTCCAAATTTGCAGATTGTATATTAGAAGCGGCAGGTTGTATGAAAATGCCACCTCGATGTAAAACTAGACCTAAGAACTTCTATGGTAGGGATTGCCACAGGGATAAATTAGAGGCAAGAAAGGGTCTTAAGCGCTTTAGCTATGATAGAAATAACCTAAATAGAAAGAAATATTCATACTCAGAAATACTTATAAAAATAAATGTAGGAAGTGGAAAAGAATAAACCAACAGCTAACAGCCAGAAAGTTATATAACTCCAGACACAATCCTAAATCATTTTGGAAGGAACTGAGAGATATATCTAATCCAAGGAAACCACCACCTGATATTTCTGATGAATCATGGTTTAATCACTTCAAATTACTGTATGATAAAACTGATCTTACTGATCAAGATCAAGATACTTTTGTTACATGTGCTGCACATATATGTCCTGAATCAAGCGATTTTGAGAAACAGATTTTGGATTCTGGGGTCGACATTATACTAGCAAAAATGATAAAATCATCGGAAAAGGACGTTATGGCATTTCTTCTCATATTATTTAATACACTATTTGAGAGCGGCAGCTTTCCAGATGCTTGGAAAGTAGTATATACAGTAGCGGTACGAGATCAAGTCCAACAAAAGACTCTGTAAAGCTTCATTTAGGAAATAAAGCTTTTGTCAGGCCCTTATCTCTCTCCGCTATTGTATATACCTGGTTTGAACCCCCAGTTAACTTCCTGGTCACTATGACCGCGAACCAACACTTTCCTGATCACGTGACACTATGATAGCTCTATGTCGTGTTGACCTCGAGGAAACAGTTTAATGTGACAGGATACTATTGGGATCACTCGACAAGGTAAGTGTTAAATATTTTGCTTGGGGGGTAACATTGTGCCGTATGGTATGATCAATAATTCCTCACTGACGAAACCACTCTCTGGCACATCTTTCAAGTAGTACAAGTTCGGCTCGTCGGCTTTGATGTCCACTTTATCTATGTTGTAAGTTTTGACTGACCATGTCGGATCGGTGGCTCGTTTCCGAGTGTCCCCTTCGTTTTCCCCCGGCTGGTAGAGGTACCTCACGAGGGCCCTATCGGGTATCTGTTTCTCCTTCCCACGCGATGGTGCAGCCGGTTCGGCTATCACTGATTTCAGTTTGATAGCGTCGGCCGGTTTCTTGCCGGTGAGACGGGTGGTTTAGTGGTTGATAGCCGACACCACCTGAGGTAGCCGCGCTACCCATTCCGTCGATCGTTTTTCTGGGGTGACCATCTCTCTCGCATACTGGTGTCCGAATAAGCACTCGGCCAAAGTCCGATTGAATCTCTCGACTATGGCTTGGCTGCGATGAGCCCCGGCCGCGCCACGCCTGACTTGGACGTCGTGCTGGGCTAGCAGTTGTGACACGGCACCCATGAACTCCCGCCCGGGGTCGACTTGCAGCTCTGTGGGCCATGTCAGCGGACTGCGTTTGTATATGCGCTCGAATCCGCGGGCTGCTTGGGCCGCATCTTTCGCTGTTAAGGGATCGGCTTCCT